CCTAAATTCAAGCACTCCTTAAGAACAATCAAAGATGCCTTCACCTCCACCAATGTGAGTGTATGGAATATAGAAAGGAAATACAAAAAATGTGCATATCAATTAACCCAAAAACCTTAGTTTAAGTGGTCTGGATTGAAATCAATTCAACAGCTACCAAAATCCCACTACACTAATATTAATATATAGCATTGTAGCCATACACTTGGCCCTCACAATATAATATTTTTTTTAGATAATAAATAGGCACATAAATGTTTTTTGAAAAAAAAATTTAGAAAAGAAAAATACTATAACAAAAAAACTTCTATATAGATTAAAAAAAATAGAAATACTTATAACACACATCATATTTTGGCTAAATACTAAAGAAGTTATATGCTATTTGCCACTTGCTAAATAAATGACACTACCAAAGAATTTGTACAACTCATAAAATTGGAGGAAAATATTTATATAATAACATTTAATTTTTATTTTCATTTTCTTGTGAGAAAACTTGCCTATTCCAATCTAGCCATCTAGGTGCTTGAACATCTGCATCTATGAATCACAAACAATGTTCTTGTGGTCTTGCAATGCCCATCAAGAACTTAGTATAGTATAACTTGACTGTCTTGCTACCTTGTCAATGGGATTGCAAAAATCACACGATTTTGGGGAAAACCAACTAGTCAAATCTACCCGCGCTTTCGCCTCCCTCCCCCCACGTGTCGCATCGCCGCGCTCACGTCTAGGGCAACAGTCAAAGCCGTGGTGCCGGAGCCCCAATTTTGACCGGCTGCCTGGTAAAAAGGTAAAAGGCGGGGGCGAGATATATATACTCCATCCCTAACTCTTTTCCCTCAGTGCTAACAGCACTTGGGCTTCTTCTTTTCATTTGTTCCATCTCAATTCAATCAATCGGATTGTTTGCTCCCAAGAGTTGTATGGCCAGTGCCGCCACGCCAGTCAGTTGCAAGCTCCTGATCGAAAAGAAAAGCCCCAATCTCGCCAATCAGAGGGATCATCTCCTCAATCTCCAGCAGCAGAGCAAGAAGAAGCGATTCAAGCCGGCTATGGCAGGCTACAATCTGGGTGAATTCTACGCCACCCGCGACGCCTGGAATTCCCGCCACGCGCAATGGCAGAGCCACTGCGCCATTGTTTCCAGCCAGTCCATCGCCCAGCCCGAGGAACAGCACGAACACTCCAAGAACGCCGGTAGCGGTATCAATGGCGATCTAAAAGAGGGATCCATCCAGATCCTAGCAGCGTCAAACGGCGCCGCCGCCAAGTCCATGATGATGATCCTGCCCAAGCCGCTGTCCATCGCGGATCTCGCCATGCCGCCGTCGCACGGATCCACGCTGCGCGTCGCGTACCAGGGCGTCCCGGGGGCGTACAGCGAGGCGGCGGCATCCAAGGCCTACCCGGAATGCGAGCCCATCCCCTGCGAGCAATTCGAGGCCACATTCCAGGCCGTGGAGCTCTGGATCGCGGACCGCGCGGTACTGCCCATCGAGAACTCCCTCGGCGGTAGCATCCACCGGAACTACGATCTCCTCCTGCGTCACCGGCTCCACATCGTGGGCGAGGTCCAGCTACCAGTCCACCACTGCCTCATGGCCCTCCCCGGCGCCTCGATCGAGGGGATCCGGCGAGTGATCAGCCACCCGCAAGCGCTAGCACAGGTGGAGCACACGCTGACCAACCTCGGGCTCCAGGCCGCGCGGGAAGCCGTGGACGATACCGCCGGTGCCGCGCAGCACATCGTGGCGAACAACCTCCGCGACACCGCGGCGGTGGCCAGCGCCCGCGCCGCGGAGATTTACGGCATGGACGTGCTGGCCAGCGGCATCCAGGACGATCCGGGCAACATGACGCGCTTCCTCATGCTGGCGCGCGAGCCCATCATCCCGCGCACCGATCGGCGATTCAAGACGAGCATCGTCTTCGCGCTGGAGGAGGCGCCCGGGGCGCTGTTCAAGGCGCTCTCGGCCTTCGCGCTCCGGAACATCAATCTCACCAAGATCGAGAGCCGACCGCAAAAGAATCGGCCGGTGCGCGTCGTGGATGATAGCAACCACGGCACTGCGAAGTACTTCGAGTACCTCTTCTACATCGATTTCGAGGCGTCCATGGCGGATCCGCGGGCACAGAACGCGCTGGGGCAGCTCCAGGAGTTCGCGAGCTTCATCAGGGTTCTTGGGAGCTACCCGATGGACATGACGCCGGTGGTACCGCCCGGCAAGCCCAAGGTGATCAGCACCACGTAGCCGGTACCGCACGGTGCGTACTCTATGCCGCGCGGTATACCACGTGAATCGCGCGGGCTACCACGTGCAACATGTGATTGATTTTTCTTGCAAACACACCTTTGTATTAACACGAATCTCGAAATGAATGAAATAAATCTTCCCAGAGGATGGGAAGGACACACAAGTTGATGGAAGAACATTGTGATGCCACGATTAGACTCTCCAAACTTTGTCAGGTTTCTCAAACGTATGGTGGATTGTATTGGAAGTTTTTGCTGCCAAGCTGCACGAATCACGATGGCGATTGTGATGTAGCAACCAATTCTTTAGGTTCTTCCTCCAAAAGCTTTAATGCTCGCCAGAAGAGAGCCGCGATTTCTTGACTTAAGAAATGACTTTAAAGCCGCGGGAGTGGACTTGCGACCTGGGAATTCAAGCGAGAATAAACGCAAGTGCGCGAATTCAACACAGAAGAATATGAATTGCCTCTGAAAGTTCTTAGCTTCGTGGTTTCATGCGAGGTTCATGAAGGAAATCATATATTTTCAGCTCTGCCTGAGATGTTTGAATCGGACTTTCAGGACTTAGCTCGCTTCAAGATCGGATGGAAAATCTCACTCGCGCAGTTCATGAAGGCAAAACGAGGTTTTCATGTTTGAATCAGACTTTCAGGAAGTGCTTGAAGATGGAAAAATCGAGGAAATCATTGATTTTCAGTTCCGCGAATGTTTAAAGCAGACATTCAGGAAGTTCTCAGTGCCTTAGCTCGCTTGAAGATCGAGGGTGGAAAAATCTCGCTCGTGTTGACACCCGCGTTCCTCTTGACGGCGCTCGCCACTGTAGTCCAGGCCAACTCGTCCGGCTCGAACGGCATACACCCAAATACCTCCCAAGCACGCTTGATCTCTCCAGCTCTAGCGAACAAATCCACCATGCAAACGTAGTGATCAAGGCAAGGATGATCCAAGCCCGAGAACTCCCCGGCCGCGAGCGCCAGGAAAAACACCCGCGCCGGATCGATCAGACCGGCGTGGCTGCACGCAAAGAGAACAGTGACCATGGTGATCCCATCCGGTTTCGTTCCATCCAGCAGCATCGCGAGGAAGAGCTCGATCGAGATGGATGGGCGATCGTTCTGCGCATACGCGAGCATGATCGAGTTCCAGGCCGCGTCGTTCCTCACGGGCATTCGATCAAACACCGCGCGCGCCTCTTCCACTCGACCACACTTCCCGTACATCCCGACGATCGAGGTCCCGACTATGAAGTGCTCCTCCAGCTCCTCGTCCCGGATCGCAGCGTGGAATCGCCGCCCCTCGGCCAGCGCTGCGAGCCCGGCGCACGCATCGATCGCCGCGATGAATGTCACTTCGTCCGGTGCGACACCCTCGAGATCCATGATCGCGGGGAGTTGCAGAGCTGTCGCAGCGTCCTCTGAATCCAAGCTCGCGGCAAATGCTTTGATGAGCGCCGTCCACGACACGACGTTTCTCTCCGGGGCGGAAACGAAGATCTTCTTAGCCTCGGCAAGATCACCGCAATCGCCGTAAGCGTCTAAGATTGCGTTCCAAGACGCAGTGTCCTGCTCCGGCATCAAATCAAACATGCTCCTCGCGTCATACAAATACCCGTTCTTAGCATACGATGCAACCATGCTCGTCCAGGACACTACGTTCCGCCTTGGCATCTCGTCGAAGAGATTGTGCGCTTCTTCCATCCCTCCGTGGAGTGCGTGTGATTGCACAATTGCGTTCCAGGAAACGATGTTTCGCTGCGGCATTGCATCGAAGAGACGGCGCGCTCGGGAGAGATTGCCGTGGTAAGCATTTGCAGTTACGATGGCAGTCCAGGATACCACATCCGGAGACGGCATCCGGGTGACGAGCTCGCTTGCGCGGTCGAGGTCTCCTCTTTGTGCGTACGCCTGGATCATCACGTTCCAGGTAACGGTGTTTGGACAATCAAGATCGTCAAACAGCCTCTGAGCCTCCAGAAAATGCCCCTTTTTGGCAAATGCTGCAATCAAAACAGTCCAAGCAACAACATCCGGCCGAGGGATCATCTGAAACACTCGGAGCGTTTCGGCCATGCAAAAGTTCTGCTCGTACATGTGTAAGACTGCACTCCACGAGACAGAGTCTCTCTCCGGCATCGTGTCAAACAGCCATTTCGCTCGATGAAAATGCCCGTTTTGGGCATTTGCTGCAAACATGATGTTCCAGGTGTAGACATTGCGGTGGATCATGCCGTCGAACACGGAGCCCGCCAGATCCAGCCGGCGGCACGCACCGTACATCTCGATCAAGAGATTGGCGATGTAGGTGTCGTTCCCGTACCCGTTCTTGGTGATGTGCGTGTGCGCCATCTTGCCTTCGATGAGCGCTTGCGAGTCGCGGCATTGGCGGAGCAGCGATGCGTAGGTCGCGGTGTCGGCCTTGAGGCTGAGATTGTTGAGCGCCGCGGTCAGCTTCTCCACCCTCATACATTTGATCGATCGAATGGAGCGAATTGGAAGCCTACATCCAAAATGAAAACCAATGTCAGTTCTTCCTTTCTTCGTCAGTGGTTTGTCGATTCGTGATGCATTATTGCCGCCCAAATGGATAGACTTGGCAAGAAACGTCTCCGAGGAGACGATCAAGAACAAGTGGGCTCCTCTCGATTCGAGAAAGAGACCCTTCTTTCATTCTCACTCTCTGTGTTGTCAAGCTTTCCATGAATCTTTTCTCTCTTATGTGACCCCCACACGCACACCCGGCAGAGTTTCAATCTCTCGTAGCATTTTCTCCGCATAGAACAAGACCAGATCTTTTTCTGTTCTCATTTTGTTTACGGTATCTACAAGCAATCTACAAAGAAAAATCCAGGCACTTCTTCTATCTCGCATAACCAACATAACTTACACTTAACTTACGCTGATGAAATGATCGATGGATCATCCACTCGATCCAAGCTCTCTATCCAGCCGGGAAAGAGGAGCTAGTTTTTCTCCTCCTCCGTCGGCCTCAGCGTCAAGCAATCTAGATACAGCCCACCCTTCCAGTAGCTGCAATCCACTTCCCGGATGCAAAACTCCAGCTCCAGCGGCTGGGCGATCAATCTCTCGCCCTCCACGACGATCTGCCCGACCTCAAACTCAAACCACTGCTCGAACCCAGTGACTGGGACCTGCTTCATCAGGTCCAGCTCCTTCTCCAAGACTTTGCCGTGCGTGATCTTGAGCCGGAAGAGCAGCGGCTTCTTCCAGGCGAGATAGAGGATCTGTCCGAATTGCGGGTTTGCTACCTTGAGCCTCCAAGTGGCCGAGTACTTCCCCGGAGTTAGCGAGCATTTCCATTTCCCAAACACTTCCAGCCGGCAAACCGCGAGTAAGTGCGCTACCTGCGATCAAGAAAAGGAAGAGTTCGACGTGATCAATCAATCAATCACTCTCTCGTGAAAGAAAGAAAAAACTAGATCGGCCAATCACACACTGTCGCGAGGAAAGAAAAAGAAAAGTTTCTAAGTAGAGAAGAAGATTAGGTGAAGGGATGCTCTAAGCAACGCAAGAGAAAGACCCCAGAAACACTGCAATATGACGAACAGACGTTTCCAAGCAAAGCTTATCCCCCCCTGGCGATGGAATCCATCCATCAATGCGAGCAATCCTCGTATCGAGCTGCTTGGAGCTATGGAGAGGGCAAGGCAAGATTTTGCAATGGAGCTCAAAGTGGAAGACGAAGAATCGAAATATCGGAATGGCAGTGCTAGCCCAGGAGGCCGAGCTATCAATCGATCGCTCGATGCAAAGAAAGAAAGAAGGCGGCAATGGAACAAGAAGAATGAAAGAGAGGAGGGATTTCTTACCTTGCCAAAGCAAGAACTCCGCGAGTCCTCCCAGCGCCAAAATCTCGCGTCCTGGCCCCAGGTCACGCCCATCCCGGCCACGGACAGGATCCTACACACCCCGCCGGTGCGTCGCAGCAGCAAATATTTCTGCCGGCCTCCACTCACGAAGATCCCCTCCGCCAGGGCCTGGAGGAGCTCCTTCCAGCTCTTCCATCCATCCCTGTAATCGCAGCACTCGCCGCGCACATCCGATGGGAGCAGCCCCTGCCACACGAGCTCGGAGCTCGCCGCCGCCGAGAAGGCCTGGCTCACCGACGCGAGGCGGCACGCATCCAGCGGCGTTGTCCGCCCGATGATCGCCGCAATGCAATCGATGGGAAGATCGCCGAGGCTCGACATTCTTGAGACGAGAGAGCGTTCTTCTCTTTAGCCCTCTCGTCCTGTTCTACTTCTATTCATCGCCAGATATTCCAGTAAATATTCTTTTGGCATTCTAATTTAGGGTTCGTCGAGGCGATGGCGGAGCTGGAGGCGATGCTAGGGCTCCGCGACTGATGCTTCGCGGGGATGGAAAACGGCACTGCTGCTGCTCCGAATCCTTGCTGCAAGCAGGTATATCCTAGATTCTTTCGCGATTTGATCGAAATCGAGTCTGTCAATCGATCGCTGCAGCTCGCGGAGAAGCTCGAGAAGAGCGATGCCGGGAGAAAGAAGCTACGGCAGGCGATATCGATGCTCAAGGAGAAGCTGGAGGCCGCCGACAAGGTTATGCAAGAGAATGACGCTCTACGACGAGGTGTGTGGCTCTATCTCTTTACTCGCAAACTTTTTTCTTCGTCTTTTGCTCTTGTGGTGATCATCTAATCCCCCGGAACCCTTCCATAGGGATCTGTCTATCGTTTTTGGCCCAAGTCTTGCTTGTAAAGGCTCTCATAACGATGCGAGCCATTGGGGATTGCGCAAAGAAGCAGGCAACACACTGGTGTTTACAATGCCAGTCTTGCTTCTTTGTGCATGATCCTGAGACAGGGACTCTTAGTCTCAAATTGGTAGGAATGGTGGATGACTTTGTCGAGGAGCTCACTCTCGTGTCGTATTCTTTTGTTGACAGATTGCGAGAAAGAGCGTGAGCGTGCTGCAATGGAAAGACAGGCTGCTGAGAAAGAGAAGAACGCCCGGCTAGTGCTGGAGGAGGAGGGCCGGTCTTTGAAGGAAACACTAGCCATGGCAATAGCCAGGATAGATTTCCTGGAGGCCACACAGGCAGCTGATCGGAAAGAAGTGCAGCATTTGCGTAACGAGGTACCGATTTATGTTCCCTTTTCTTTCGCTTAAAGAGTAAATCTTACAGGTGAGAGTGGCCGTGGATGGCGTTCGTGCAGCTGTAACCACCAGCGAAACAGCGCAAAGAGTATGTATAAGTCTTGAGAAGAACCTGACGGCTAAGGTATGCCTTTCAACCTCGTGCTACGTAGAAGTACTGAACAGGTGTTACAGGTCAATGCGCTTCCAAAAGCCGGTGGACAAAACTTGCAGGCTCAAAATGGATTTAAAGCTCTCCAGGGAACTGTCAGCACTTCTCAAAAGGAAATGGCCGCGCTGTCTACGAGGTTGGCAGCGTTGGAGACACAAAATGCACAATATGTCGATCAACTGAACCAGTTGCGGCAGGCCACAGCCGTAAAGACAGCAAAGCCCACGGAGGCCGTCGCTACGAAAACTCCATCGAAGCTACCTCCGAGATCTCAACAACAAAGGCCCGACTTAAATCGTAGTGTGGTCCGGAACTCTCGGTATACTTCCACTTCAACCGGCGCCATTCAAGTGATACCCGGAATTGCAGACATACTTCAACCATTGACGTCGGCATCGAAGAAAACAGGCTTTGTTGTGCATGACGAGAACCACGAGCAGGCGAAGGCTTATACTGCCAAAGCCACGCAGGACAAAGACCCGGTTTATGAGACTGCAAAGGATGGGTCAGACTTAACTGTTCAGGACGATTGTGGTGGGGCAGGAAAAACAGCAAAAAAGCTGTTGCACTCACTCAGCCGCCTAATTCACAAGGAGAAACGGGCGCATTCGAGAATGGAGGTCAAACTGTGTGAGTTGCAACAAGCACTTAATCACAGTGAGTCTCCTCAAGCGAAACAGCATAAAAAGAGAAAGAGAAGTGGAGCTGAGGCAACCAATTCTAAACATTCATCGAAAGCAAAGGCGAGCAGGAAAAAGCGGAAACTGAAGGTGGATGCTGTCGTCATTGATGATGACTCGGAGATGGAGGTTCTCGTTGAAAAGTGGCTGGACGCGAAAAAGAATCTGCATTCGCCAAACTTACCTGAGGTTCCGTCGCGGGCACAAACTGCGATTAGCAACTCGGAGACTCGACCGTGCACGGCTGCGTCACCTCAGGATGTTTCAGGACATGCTTCAGAAGTTCCAAACGTTCAAAGCTGCCAACAAAATATTGGAAGAGCAGAAGTCTGGAAGGTCCAAGGCTCTTCCAAGGATGAAGCCTGCCAACAGAATACTGGGAAATCAGAAGTTTTGATAGTTCGAGGCCGCGAACAGGACACTGGACATGCCGCAGACTTGGACACCGTGACCAGGTATCAACTCAGTCCAAGGTTGCTTTCTACAGCTCCTCAAGCTGTCGTTGAGGAACGTGGGGGTCAACTGAATTTCGATGATCGAGACGAGCTGCGCATTTGGTTTTCTGATGCGAAAGAAGTGCGCGGGGCTATTTTATCAAATGAAGATTGCCCGAACCAGAGCGTTTTGGATATGGAGATAGTTGCCGGCTGCTTCGTGGGTGATGACGGGCTTTTGAAGCCTTCAGAATCATGGAAGCAAGAGTTTGAATCGAGAGCCAGTGGCCTGGCTTTGAACATAACACTGAGGTGAGCATGCTTGTCTTGGGCTGCAGGATTCTAACATCTTTGGCAGGTCATCCTTGCTGGTAGTAACTTCGAGCATTGTCAACATCCTAACGACGAGACTGTTTCATGGTAACGTGGTTTTCCAGTTCGGGAGCTTTCTCTGCAATGGTCAGTAGCGTCCCTTTTAAAAAATACACCAGAATCTGATATGTTGCTGTTTGCTACAGTTTTAACTGGAAAGCGTGTGGCCTTCGATACACTGCTGAGGCTTCTCTCCAGTTTCCTTATCTTCGGCGAAACTCAGTTTTTTATGGCTATAATGACAAGAGACGAAAAGGAAGTTCACAGACTAGATTGTTTTGCTGCTAAAGCAACAGCGGACGAGGTTGCTGCTGCTAGTAAGCTCCTCGCAACTCTATGCAACATATCTGGCCATTTCCGGCTCTTGCGCAAGATCACTCACAAGATTCTACGCCGGAGCCTGATGGATGTCGGTCTGTTGGTCACCGTTTTGGCTTCACTTGCCTCGGTTTCGAAACAGCTCCTCTCAGATACAGTGATCCGATGTGTTGCTTCCGAGCTGGTTGCGGAGGTGGTGGTTCCGCAACAATGTGGTACGCTTGCCAGTTTAGATGGGAAGCTACAGGACAGGAAGCTACTAGAGCACCTCGAAGTTTCGGTTGACGCCACTGTACAGGAGGTTGTACGGGCCACACTCGACCTTCTCTGCACTTCCAACTTACCGGGTTTTAATCTCATAAAGGAAATGGAGTGTCAACGTATAAGCTCGAGCTGTTTTGAAGAGACCGAAGCTTGGCCCATCCAGTTTCATGAAGCTGTCGAGGCTCTGGAGCTTATCTCCTTTCACATGGTAAGTGTCTTCTTCTTTCGGGTTTCATCAATGACATGTTGTTCAGGGATGGGAATGGACATACAACAATCTTATCGTAGAGAGATTATGGGTCCTTGTGGCGCCTGGTGTTGCACAAACGACAGTAGGAGGCGTTGCTCATCTCCTTGGTAGCCTAGGAAGGTATTTATCACTAAACACTCATACTTGTTCTAATTTAGTGTCATTACAGGCTAGGCTTGGAAGGTGGCCAGGAAATGCCTGGTGTTGACAAGCTGAGACAAAGCTTGGCTTTTATACTTGAAGATGGGAACCATGAGCAAGGAAGGTTTTCCTTCGCGACTCGCCTGGTTGCGGCAGCTGCCCTGTTGGAGCTGTCAGTTCATGATAAAAGGGCTCCACGGTTGACAGATGACGATGATGCCACCGACAGTCAAGGCCTGGACGTTCTGAGCTTGGACTACGTGAAAACCGTGCAAGACTGGTTTCACAGTTTGGACAGCGAGAAGCAGAGCAGCGTACCCCTTCGTCTGAAGAACCAGATTTTTGCTATCCATGTGCCTTCTCGTAGAGCGCTTGAGGAGCTGCCTGAGAACGAAAAAAACGATAAAAGCGCTCCTTGACACCTTGTGACCAGCTCGTTGAGGTATCAACGTCTTCGTTATATTCCTTCTGCCTGTCTTAACTCATCCTCTCTCGCTGACAGGGAAAGCTAGAATCGCAGCTGAGCTCCTCCGGCAGGCCACTGCAAGAGTTTTGATCGACCGGGACAGATCGCAAACCGATGATCTATGCTGTTGTCGGCGTGCTGGATCTGCATTGAGCCCAGTTCCCAGCCAGTATCTAAGAGACGATGAGACGACGAGTTCGTGAACTTTCCGTCTTGGTGGCGAATGGCACGCGTAGTAAGACAAGAACGAGGCGGCTCGGCATGGCCCAGGCTTGTCGTTGCTCCCCTTCGAGGACATACTGATATGAACAGCGAATCACTTTGGTGTCGTTATTGTGTAAGTTTTTCTTTCTTTCCTTGCTCTAGTCCTTTCTCACTTGTCGTGGCTCCCAGGATCCGCGGTCGCTGTAAGGCAGCGAATTCGCTGGCAATGGCTAAACATCCAAGCCCGCATTTCGACATGACAGTGAGCTTAACGCGATAGTGATCTTAACGATTGGAAAAGTTTCTTTGGCCAGTTATAGATTACAAAGCTGCTATATCTGACTGGAGAGGCCTAGACTGGCTATGGACGGAACAGTGTCACTGATATCAACAGTGGTAACAAAGCCCGAGGAAAGTGCCAAACTGGAGAATGGTATCACTCAACAACTGAAATTTCAATGCTCCCGAAAATCCAGCGAAGATGCTCCAGTTGCATGGATTGTTAAATCGCCAGGAATGTAATCACTCCATTCGCATGGATTGTTAAATCGCCAGGAACTTAATCAAATGAGAGCAAACGTTTTGTTAATCAAAGGTTTTGTTGCATTCCAAGAATGGGGCTTGTTTAGCGAATCTTGGGTGTGCCACTGTTCTTGCATGGTGAGTTTTACTAGGTTGGATTTTGGAGCATCGCCAATCAAACCAAAGGTACCTGACGATATCAACTAAACTTTGCGAGAAAAGGGAGCGAGTTAGTCCCTCCAAGAGCTTGGATTCCAAAAGCCAAAAAGGTGACGAGCAACACGTACAAATGCATGCGTCAAACGCGACTTTTCACCACCGATCTTTTCAGCAAAGGAAAGGTTGACGGAGCCGTCATGGAGCCCGATCGATCGTATACGCATATATTCCCCAGACAATGCCGTTTGTTACAGTGGGCGAAAGAAAAAAAAGAGGAAGAAATCCCATGGTACGACGGGTATATTCCACCTCACGCACTCCCAAACAAAGGTGGTACATGAAAACAAGCGGAAGGATCTCTAGGCGGCGCTGTCCAGTCCCCAGAGAGGCTTTGTCGCCATGGCCTTCTTCCAAGTTGTTTATACAAGTTTTTTTTCTAGAGCGAGTATTTTGGTTGAATGTGGATCACTTTGGCACTGTTGGTTTCACTGTTGCTGCTCATCCATGGCTTGTTTCTAATTTTATAAACACTGGGTGTTTTGGCAGCTTTCACAGTGTGATAGTGGTATATTTACCAGTCTAGTTTCGTGAGGCATAGCCTGTGCCTCAAATCTAGACGACCAGTTTGTAGTTTGTGTGTCTATGCCTGGTTGAAACACGAGGAACTTCCCGAGTGTGGTAAGCATTGTAAAGTTTGATCCACTCTTAGATCCTGCCTTCGCAATCGTGTAGAGTTGGATTGAAATGTTGTTTGCGCAGGAGCTTTGGTGATTCTAATCTCTTATGGTGATTCGTCTGGCGAGGATGAGAGTTTATAAGACTCTCATCGTGGGATCTCTCAACCGGTCGGCTGAGCTTCCCAAGGTGTCCAAGTTTAAGTTCGTGATGCTTGACTTTGAGGTGTTTGGAACCTCCCGTGGTGGTAAAGGACTCAAACAGATATCTGTGTGATCGACACCCGAGAAAGAAAACAATCGTTCATCCACAGCGCCTGGAAGCCTTCGAAGATCAGCATCTAGCTTTAAACCATTAATCATGTTGAGACAGTCCGTGAACTATCAGCTCCCAGCGGCGGCGACATCGTGCTCCAGATCATACCTCGACTCCAGGGAGCTCGCATTCCTATCCAAGGAGGAGCACAGTAGCCCTGGACCGGAGAGGTACTATTACAACACTCCCGAGAAGCTCAAGAACAACACGACAATCAAGGAAGCGTGGCCACTGTCGGGGCTCTCGGTGCGAGGCATCAGCATCCTCCGCGGATCAAACGACGCCGCCTGCGTGGAGCAGCTTCTCCTCCACTGCGCCACCGCGCTGGAATCCAGCGACACCACTTTCGCCCAGCAGATCATGTGGGTTCTGAACAACATCGCCGCCTTCGATGGCGATCCAAACCAGCGCGTCGCCGCCTGGTTCCTCAAGGCGCTCGTCTCGCGGGTGTCGAGAACGCTGCTCTCATTCAGCTCCTCGCCGCCCAGATTCCTTCCCAGCTCTTCTCCCACTGCCGCTGCCAACACGAATCTTTCAGTAAGTTTGTAGAGTTCTCGTGCTCGCTAGAACTGGTTCTTAGATTGCTTTGTTCCCGTTTCTCGCAGGTTTTCCAAGACTCTTGCTTGAACCTCGATGCCAGCAGTGCCTCTTGCTTCGACAACCGCCTCCTCACTCCAATCCAGCTCGCCAAATTCGTTGATCTAACTCCATGGCACCGTTTTGGCTTCTCGGCGGCAAACGGCGCCATCCTCGAGGCCGTCCAGTCGCGCGACAAGATCCACATCCTCGATCTGAGCATCACGCACTGCATGCAGTGGCCGACGCTCATCGAATCGCTCTCCAACCGGCCAGGTGGACCTCCCAACAGCGTCCGGTTGAGCGTACTGACTGCCCGCCCCAGCGTTCCACCCTTCGTTGACATGCCGTACGAGGAGCTGGGCACACGCCTCCGTACGTTTGCTCGCAGCAAGCGCGTCAACCTCGAGTTCGAGGTGGTGAGCTCCAGCGATCTCATCCCGGGGCTCTTCCAGATCCGCGATGGCGACGAGGCATTGGTCGTGAACTGCCAGCTCCGCCTGCATTACTTCCCGGAGATCGATGACCACGACGGCCCCCACTTGGATCATCACGGGCTATCATCGCCGCGAGACGAGATCCTCCATCTCATCCGGAGCCTCAACCCGGACATGGTGACGCTGGTGGAGGAGGACGCGGACGTAACATCGCCCAGCTTGGTGGATCGCCTCCGCGCGGCCTACAACCATCTCTGGATCCCGTTTGATCTGCTCGAGTCGTGCCTGGCCAGGAACCACGAGCTGCGCCTGCAGTACGAGGCAGATGTTGGGCGGAAGATCGACAACATTGTGGCCTGCGAGGGCGAGGCGCGGATCGAGCGGCTCGAGTCGAGGGACAAGTGGAGCCAGCGGATGAGGTTTGCGGGGTTCCGGCAGCTGGGATTTTGCGACGAGGTGTGGGGAGATGTCAAGTGGATGCTGGAGCAGCATGCCACTGGGTGGGGACTCAAGCGCGATGCGCACGACTTGCTGCTCACTTGGAAGGGGCACAATGTGGTGTTTGCTACTGCATGGACTACAGGTTGATCATACGATATTCATGATGTTTGTTCCTGTGAGAAACTTCAGGTGAGTACTATCAGGAAAGGTTGAACTTTTTTTTGACGATACTTTCGTTTCTTGTTTTCCCAGCTTTTTATTTTGATGTGTAAAAATTTGCCCGCTCGCTCATCAGTTTGTTCCTAAAAGCCTGGAATGCTGGTTGAAGCGTTTAGATATGAATCAATATGGCATCGGTAGCCACGAAATCATTCTCAATGGAAGCAGTAGGAGCAATGTGGTAGCTTGAGCACTCCCATCGCAGCTACCTGTCTCACGTAACCATTGTTATCCTTGAGGCCCTTCCTGAGAGACCACTCCACGAATTCATCGTTTGTACAGTCCTTCCATCAATATAAAATAACAGTTCCTAGTTGAATGTTACTCAACAATACGTCTGGAGAAACAGGCAGAGCAATCATTCTTGGGGGGATTTGAATTTCCACGTCTCTAAGGTGTGTACCCATCTTCCTGCAGCACAAGCATGGCAGCTTCCAACGTGATGGTACTCCTCCTTCCAGTTAAGTGGATTAGTTCTCAGCGATAATATTACTTTCTGTATTACTGCTTACGTGGCACAAACCAATTCTCCAGAATTTGATTTGTTCGTTCAAGGTGGATAGACTTGCCCTGTTATATGCATAATATGAATTCCTGCTGTATAAGATATGCTTTGACGGTAATATGTGTTTACAGACACCAAGGGAGGAATTCTATCATTTGGCACATTATGTGCTTACTATTTTTAGGTTTACCTAAACATTAAAAATTAAAAATTAAAAGTTCAAAGTTCAAATTAGAAGTCACAAACCCAAAATATTAGTTTGCAAATCTTGCTAGGAGACAAAAGCATTGCATAAGAGCATAACCCTAGACGGAAGGATGGTGCATTGGATTCTCCATGTCCCAGCAGTTAATCCTTATCTGAGAGGCTGCTCTAGAGACTTAGGGAGGAGAGTCGCCTGAAGCCTCCATAGCTGACAAGGCCGGGGTGGCATTGGAACTCTTTTGATTACATTGCCTCAAGGCTTTAGGTTTGCAAGTTCAAGGATCTCAATCTCTGGGACTCCATAGCAATAGCCAGTGTTTGCACAAAGTCTTGTCATATCTGTATTCTTGATAAAAGAAGAAACCACTACTGTCCTTTTTATCCAAAATGTTATTGATCGATCAAGAATGTCATCATCATCCAGAAGTAATATTTCACTTGCTTGGAAAACTTGAACATACTATATAGACTTGAAAAATAACAATAAAACTTTCAAATTAGAGATCACCTATACATACATCTAAATCCACATGCATATACATATACGTATGTATGGAGAATAAAAACTAATTATATCATATGACATAAATATAAATGACAATATATCTTCCAATGTTTAAAATACAATGCCTTTAACGCCTGGTAGTTTAAACTAAGCATCTTGTTCTTTGGTACTACCAAAGATGAGTACGTTTGCTTTTCTAATTGTGATTTTTTTATGTTGTAGTGTTGTTAAAGTAGCATGTTTAAGGATGTCCAAAATAACATTTTTTCCCAAAAGTTCCATTTTTTGAACGAACCTAAAAGGAATAAACATAAAATAAAAAATAAAAAAATAGAATTGACAAAAAAGTTATACATGTCAGATGAAGTTTATTAAAGTGCTTTTTTTGAAAGTAACAAATTTTTTCATTGACATTACCTTCTGTAAAGATTTTGGAAAATTCATCCCAGCATAGCCTTCTAAAGTTACCTAGATGTGCATATTTCTAGGTTGTTACTTTCCATTAATTCAGTTTATATTCCAAAAACATGAAAATTTCTAAATGTTTTTTGAAAAGTTAAAAAATAAAAAAAGAAATAACAAAACAGACTTTTCTCATAGTTTACAAATATGATATTGATTTCAAGCTTTGGCTCACAATGATGTCTTTGGCAAGTTCGGCCATCTCTGCAACTTTACATAGTTTCATCTTCAATATATTTTTGCAAACTTTCTCAATCCCTTTAGAAGTTCCTAAAACAACAACAACAAAAAAAAACAATTATTAAGTAACTTGAAAAGCTTACTCTATACAGTCTAGTTTTACAAAAAATCCTATGATCACAAATAAGTATACAGCTCTAGTTCTTTAGTATTTCTCCCTCAATGGTAATTAGCACTTTCCTGACAAATCTATAAACTTGCCTTTTAATATCATGCAATATGAGTACAAAATAATCTGTAACACTATCATTTTACAGTTCCGAGAAAATGGCTATAGAACAATGCTAGTCATTTCTGAACTCTTGGGAATTAATTATATTTCAAGAAAGATTGTGATGAATTGAATATCAATTGCTACTATTGGAATATTTCAGCAACCTTCTTTTTTTATGATTTTTTCAATTCAATGAAAGTTAAAATGAGAGTTCTTTCCTAATCCATGACTGGTATTCAAAATTAGAAGACTGCTAGCCTTTTGCAATGAGTATAATCAGTGGCTTTGAATCTTTAGGCCCATCTGTTGATGAACCATATACCTTTAACTCCGAAGATATAAAACCCTTTTACAGATCAATTGCAAACTTATTCTTTATGACTTGGTCACCAAGGAAGCGCCTTATGACAGTCCTATTCATACAAGTCCTCCATGCCCATTGGCTATACCGAACGGAGACATGTCGATTGGTGGCATCGTTTTAATCGATATAGGAGATTGTGTTTGCAAATATCCATGTCCTAGTCACAGCTGGACTATCAGTAGAAGATGGTTACATTGCGCTATGGTACACAGACGTTCAGAAGTAATTGTGGGTTGCTCCATTCCTTCCGCACCCATAGTGTATCAGTACTAAGGAGAAAAACAGAGGAAGTTACCTATCTGGAGACTCGCCTTCCATTGATCTTGAGAAAAGATAAATCAAAGTAAAACTTGGAACCTGCGATCTCACTCGAAACATTCTCGTTCTATTCCCGTGCCACAGGAAATGGAGGGAGGTCACACCACGATCGTGGCGAATGAGGCGGCTGAGGCCTGCTCTTGTAGAGAACAGCATGGAGTTTAGAGATGGAAGAAAAATAATGTTTACAGGCTCGAGAGTTACCTCTTTCGTCTGCCATCCCGTAAATGGCAATGGCCACAAGAGCTTTGGCGTCGGCAGTGTACCTCCATAGATTTCGATATGGCCGTCAGATGAACTTTGATGAGCTCGCCCTGCTCAACCATCCTTGTCGTTAGATCGATCAAATCGGAGTTTTTGACGTGAATTCTTGTCCTCAATCTATATTCGCAAAGATGAGATGGAAATGAAATGCTTTACTCTCTAGCATTCAATTCCAGAATCACACGATAGCCTGAGATTCTTTTCTTTTTCGAGGAGCTAGTAAACAGAAAGTTCTTATTTGCTCAGTGAGAACGACAGGTTTCTCGTTCGTCACTCAAGGAGCCGGACCAGCGATCGTCTTAAGCTTGTCCACTGCCGTGCTGTATCGAATCACACGATCAGTGTTAGGGATCCAAGCGTTTGAAATATTTTACCCGACTACATTAGGAAAGCTCGAATCTTTGTCGTCAAGAACTTCCTATCGGACCTTTTGATGCGGCGAGTACTAGCGATCGTGACGCCTGGACAGAGACTGAGAAAACTCTTCTAGGATAGGCCGGGCGAATGGAATCACACCATTGTCGACGAAGAACCCTCGCACGCTCGCCTCATGGCGATAACAGAGAATGCATTTACAGCAGCCAAAATCGGGGCTGAGATCTCGGCAATCTCGGCATCGAAATCTTGCGGCAGCTCCAGAGACTTGGAACCTCCACTCGGATGCCGCCATCGCCGGGGATGACTCCTACCCGTTCGTGGCCAACACGCTCATCAGCATGTACTCCAAGTGTGGCCCCATGACTGAAGCTTGCGCCGTCTTCGACAAGATGCCCCACCGCGGCATTGTCTCTTGGACGGCTTTGATGCTGGGCTACACGGACAGTGTCTAAGGCGACACGGCCCTGGAGCTCTTTCAGCAAATGCAGGCCGATGGCTGCCAGGCCAATGCTCAAGCTCTCGTCGCGGCGCTCAAGGCTGGGCCCAGCGCGTGAAGGCTTGTGAAACCGAGCTCACCCGCAAAGGTAAGGCTCTTCACTCGAAAGCTTCCATGACACTGATGGTTTCGTTTGACTGCCATGTACATCAAGTGCGGGAATATGTAATCGTGTCCGTAGTTGCAAACCAAAAATTCTCTTGATCACTAAATTACTCAAAACCTTTGGAGGTGGCCTCATAATTCATAGCCTTCTTCTTAATAACACTGTTCACCTGGAATAAAATTCCAAAGTTTTAGCACAGCTTATAGGCCTGGATGTTTTCTTCTTCTATGTTTCATAGTTGGGCACGAAGTTCTAATATAATCATGTACTAAAAGCAATCTCTGGGTGTTCTTTGTCTATAGAAGAATGAAGCGGGAAGTCCAATGAAAGCTCGGCCTCGGCAATCCCTGCAAGCTTGAAAGCCTGCACGACTTGGTCGAAAACAACACCATTTCCAGCCGCAGTAAGGTGAAGTCCGTCGCTGCATGAGAAGAAAAAATCAGTCAGTGAGAGGCATAGAAACCAACCTGAGATAGATCGATCGCCAATCGTGGTTCTCCTGGAAAAGCGTCCATAGATCAATGACAGCTACATTCTCTTCAGCAGCTACGGCCTTGCAAGCCGAGGCATACTCCTGGGCCACTGCATTCGTCCTCTCGGGGAGCTCGTGAGCATCTCGACCATAAGTATCTCTAGAACAGCCAAAAACACACGCGAAGTAAGGACGGATAGAACACACAAAAGAAAAGAGCAGACATAGCAAACTCCCGACGAGCTTTCTCATCAATTGGAGGAGGAGTGATGAGGACGATGTGTGTGCGTTTAGAGACTGCCTATGGAGAGAAGAAGAAACGAGAATCCATTAGTGTTCCACTGTGGTGTTTCTCTACCTTGAGGTGTGAGATGATGCGCTTGAGATTTGTCTTGTAAGTTGGGAGTGGAACGTGTTGGTGAGAGCTGCCACGGTCGGGCAAAGCGGCATCGTTGGCTCCAAAGAAAATGGTCACGGCCAGTGGAGCGTCTTCTTCCTGCCAAGGGTATCAACACTTCAAACGATGAGAAACTCTGAGTAGAAAACACGCACAAACTGGACTCATAACACTCGTACCAAAGAGGAAGGGAAGATCTTGTGTAGGAGGAAAAGTGCCCAGCTGCTATTGTAGCCACTGTAGCCTCGAAGCACAATATCCGCCTGAATGGAAAGAACAAATCGAGCAAAAGCTTGGCTGTTACGATGTTACCTTGCGGCAGTAGTGATGAGCTAGAGCAGCGCCCCATCCACCAGGCCCAAAGGATTGCTGCGTGATAGAATCGCCAAACAACACAATCCTGGGCCTGGCCGACCCCATCCCCCACTCTCTCAAGAACCCTAAAAGTACTCTGGCATTTTTTAAAAGTTTAAAAGATTAAAGAATATTCCGAGTAGATTCTCCTCAAGAAAAGGGATGAGAAAATTAGGTCAACACCATCTCTGGTGGAACTTACGCTGCGCTCGCGGCGGGGAGGCGGAGGAATCGATTGAATCCCTCGCGAGTAGGGTTCTTTGACCGTGCGGTAAGATCTTGGCGACGAGAAGGTGGAGGGCATTCGCTTCTCTGGAATGAGGAGGAGCGACACAAGGGGCTTTTCTTCTCCTCCCTCGCCAGGCCGCCTAGTGTAGCGAGATGAAGGGCCACGATCTTCTCAACGATGTGCTGCCGGACGAGGCGCTCATTCACATCCTGAGCTATCTGGACGTTCCCAGCGACCGGGGCTCGTGCTCGCTGGTTTGCAAGCGATGGTGGCAGCTGGAGAGCGAGACCCGGCACTCGATCCGGATTGGCGCGTCCGGGAACCCGGACGCTTGCGTCACGGCGGTGGTGAGACGATTCACGGGGCTGCGAGACGTGAGCTTCGATGAGAGGGTTCCAATCCAGCTCCACCACCAGGGCCGGCCTACTTTCCAGCCGCGGCGATCTTTTCTTCTCAGGACGCCGAGAAGGGGCAGCGCAGATCAGGTACGATTCTTCTTTCTTATCTCTAGTTTGTTCTTGCTTATCTTCGCTCGACTCTTTCTTTGCGTGGATTCTTCCTCGGCTTGTTTGGTTGAGAATGCTCGCTCTTTTGGCTGGTTCTGGAGTTCTTTCCTTGGAGGTTTTCAAAGTTTGGTTTTTCCTTGATCCAGAATGGCGACGCGACCAGCCGGAGGGGACGAAAGCGTCGCAGAGGTACTGACGAGCTATCACCACTCTTGACGGAGAGTCTGTGGAGCAGCCTCTCGGACAGCGGGTTGATGCTGCTGGGACAAGGATGTCCGAGGCTGGAGAAGCTGACGCTCGTCTGGTGCTCGGCCATTAGCAGCACCGGATTCAAGTCCCTGGCCGAGAATTGCTGCGGCTTGAAAAATCTAGAGCTCCAGGTGAGCCGCTTGCTTGCTTTCTTTCTTTCTTGACGTTGGGAGCTCTCATTGCTCTCATTGCTTCGCAGGGATGTTACGTAGGAGACGACGGGCTCAAGGCCATCGGTCAGTTTTGCAAGCTCGAGGATCTCAACCTTCGCTTCTGCGATGGAGTAACGGACTTGGGACTTATGGCGATCGCCACGGGCTGCGCAAAGTCACTCAAGGCGCTCATCATATCCGTGTGCCCCCGGGTAACGGACGCGACTCTGGCAGCCGTGGGAAAGAACTGCTCGCTGCTGGAGAGGCTCACGCTCGACTCGGAGGGATTCAAGAGTGACGGCGTCCAGGCCGTGGCCAGGGGCTGCCCGAGGCTCAAGTACCTGAGGATGCTGTGCGTGAACGTCGAGGACGAAGCCTTGGACTCCGTGGGACGCTACTGCCGGTCGCTGGAAACGCTAGCGTTGCACAGCTTCCAAAAGTTTGACAAGTAAGCTCTTCGTACTCTTCTTCGTTCGTTCTTCTTACTTTTGGATCCATTTCTCTGCAGAGGCTTCTTGGCGATCGGGCATGGCTGCAAGCAGCTCACAAGCCTCACGCTGAGTGACTGTTACTTCCTCACGGACACGACGCTGGCGGCGATTGCCAGCGGCTGTACTGAGCTCTCGTCGCTGGAGATAAATGGCTGCCACAACATTTCCACTTCTGGAGTCCGAGCAGTGGGACGCTCCTGCCGGTAAACTTTCCACTCTCGCCGGAATGGAATGCTCGTTGCTTACGTTGGAACCTCGCTCCAGAAAGCTCACGGAGGTAGTGCTCAAGTACTGCCAAAAGATTGGAGACGATGGCTTGTCCGAGATTGGCAGAGGCTGCAAGCTTCTACAGGCGCTCATTCTCGTCGACTGCTCGGCCATTGGAGACTCCTCCATTCGTAGCATCGCTGGAGGCTGTCCCGGTCTAAAGAGGCTCCATATAAGACGCTGCTACAAGGTACTCGAGCTCCGCCATCTCACGCTGGCCTTAAACTGGATTATGTTGCAGATTGGAGACAAAGCCATCGTCGCCGTTGGCCAGCACTGCGAGAGACTGACCGACTTGAGTATGCGATTCTGTGACCGGTATGTAGGCTCCAAAGTTACTCGTTCTATAGTAGTTTCTTTGTGATGATTCGCAGAGTTGGAGACGATGGCCTGGCAGCAATTGGAGCAGGCTGCCCGGAGCTCAAGCATCTAAACGTAAGTGGTTGCCACCGCGTTGGAGACGCTGGCATTTCTGCGATTGCGAAAGGATGCCCAGAGCTGATACATTTGGACGTGAGCGTTTGCCAGGTACTCACTCAGTGATGACTTTGCGAGTTAACTCAGCTCGAGTTCTTTTTCTTCCTAGAGCGTAGGCGACGAGGGACTCGCAGCGCTGGCCGGTGGATGCCGGAGCCTCAGAGAAATCATACTGTCACATTGTAGAAGTATCACGGACGCCGGACTGGGTTTCCTTGTGGCGTCTTGTACCAAACTCGAAGCTTGTCACATGGTTTATTGTCCATACGTAACTGCTGCAGGAGTCGCGACCGTGGTGACCGGTTGCTTGAGCATCAAAAAGGTGCTGGTCGAGAAGTGGAAAGTTACCCCCAGGACGAGGCGCCGGGCCGCGTCAATTTTAACAGAGCTCTGTATGGATCTATAGCGAGAAACATGATCATCTGTAACAAGTTACACACGGAATGAAAAGGACAAAAAAACTTTCGCTTACAAATGTTACAAACGCTCCAAATTAAACAAAATGTATGGAGGAACCAAAAAACAAACCCCCTCAAAACCTGTGGTAAGAACAGTTAAAAGCCGACTTGAAGGAATGCTCTAGGAAACATTTACCTCGAAGAAAACAAGGAACGAGATCGTTGCAAAAAAGTTCGATCACGCCGTCCATTCCGGGATGTTCCTCGGGGGCCAGAGCTGACGTCCACGAGAAGGCGGACTGACCCTGTCTGTCAATCCCTTGGACTTCAAGTTAACAACCGAGCGACCACCATCTACCAAGTCGGGCGAGCTGAAAAGAAAAACTTTCGACGCAGGAACCTCTTGTCCTGCTGCTGAAACATCCAGACTACCTACTTTCCCCCACTGCCTCCTATCCAACACTGGCGTCCCGATCGTGGAAAACGATGCCTGGTTCTGGCTACTAACTCTATGACTGTATGGTACATGTCCACTAGTTGGAGCTGATCTCGAGAAGTCACCGCTATGAACTACACCGGCCTTGTTTCCCAAAAATGGAGACGACGAGTTCCTGCTGCTTGCTCTTGCCACTTCCGAGTTAATATGTGCACTGTGGCCCCTACTCGAACTAAAGGCTTGCAGCGAAGTGTTCCTTTCAATGCCCCGCTTAAGATCTTGGAGCTCGTTATCCAGCCTTGAAAGCTCCTGCATATTAAAAATTCAAAGTGGTTAGTTTTTTTGGACACGCGAAAGTCATACCCTTTGAAGCATTTTGTTGTCTACAGCCTGTTGTCCACTTGGCTTGTGCCTTGTAGCACTCGTCAAGCAATGATCCGAATCTTCAGTTTCACTGCCCTCGCTACCGGCGTCAACACCAGTGGTGTTTCCATCCGCCAGTAACTCATGCGTGCATTGGCGTACGCGGCAGTCGGCTGATCGGGGTTTTCGCTTGTGCTTCAAAGGAGTCACCACCTTTCGAGCTCCATGAGCTGTCTGAGACCGTAGCCTCGAAGAGCATGAGCAAGACGTATCTGACCCCGTATCTGTTCTCCCCAAAACCCCGCTTTCCAACAAGACCTGCTTGCATATCTCCCGGAACTTCTCCGGAGACAGGTCCTTGCTATTCTCAACCGTGTCACCTTGAGGCTTCACGTCGGGAAGAGGAGTCGAATTTCCCAAACACTTCGCCTTGAAATTTGCCTGGCCGATGCAGTCACTCTCTGTTAGTCTCCAATCCATGTTTGGAGTGCCGGGAGACATTGGCGTGTCCAAAGGTTCCCGAATAGAACCATTGCTGGACACTCGAAACTCTTTCGGATTTTCTCCATCGCTTCTGGGAATCTGAATTATGTTTGAGAACCGTGTTGCCGAAGGTGTCATAGGCTGGCCATGCATCGCGGGAGCATTGGATGAATGTGACCGCCCTGACATCGGCATACCGTCCTCTATCATTATTCCTTGTTGAGCAGCAATTTCCAAAATCTGGTCGTGGTTTAGTCCCGAGCTTTCCAGTAGCCGCCACATATTGTTCAAGGCCTCTCTTTGATCCTGAATTATCTGATCCCTGATAGCCATTTGAAATTGCAGCTCCATATTCGTCATTCCCTGCAGTATCACGGAGGAGTCCGTTAAAATGCTTACGAAACAAAATGGCTTACCAATAGCCTATATTGGCTAAGGATGCGCAGATATGTTTTATTGCGATTGCTGCTAATAGCCTCATCAATCTGCCGCTGAAGCTCTTTGCGTTGTTTCTCATTGTGTTCAATATCCTGGTACAAAACAACACAATCAGCAGCGACTAAAAGGGATAAAATCAGACCTGTCGGTAATGAGCCCCAGTTTCGTCATTGTCCCGGATATTATCGAGCACTACTTGCCTCCTTTCAATAAGGTCATCTAGCTTCTCACCATCCCCTTCTTCATCCTGATAAAACAACAAGATCAGATGAATTATAAGTGCCGCAGAATCCTCACCTGATGCTGTGCAATTAGCTCGTCAAGCTGTTGAAGCTCCATTCGGTTGTGTAAATTCATGTCCTCGAGCTCAAACAACGCCTTCTGCAGATTGACTCGCATTTCCACGTTCTCATTGATGTCGTGACTCAAAACGTCCAACCACGAAAGCTCGTCATCAGCCTTTTCCGGGGTCCGGGCACTGAGCTGAGTTTCCTTCTCAGCAAGCTCCCTGCGCAGTTGACTTACTTCCACCTATAGACGTTACACAAGCTTAAAAGAAGCATAAAAGATTACAGGCTTCTTACC